TTTTTTAATTACTCTTCGTAATGATGGTCAGCTTAGTAGAATATAAAAAATAATGCTATTTATGATCGCTCAATAGTACACTCGTTCTATGTGATATATATGTGACTGTTAGGAATTTGATGTATAAGACAATAAAAAATTACCACATTAATATATCAAATTAGTAATCTTCACATGCATCACACGTAAGACGATTACGGTAGTGAGTGACTACAAATAGCATTACTCGAATATATATTGAGCCGAGCTTCAAATTTGAATCAAACTCAATATTTTGAGTAGAGTTTTAAAAGTCGATGCTTGGCTTATTTTTCGCAAGTTTGTGTAATACTTACTGATAGTATTCATTAACTATTTTGTGGCCATTTTTCCCCCTAATACATAGTCATTGTTAAGATTAAAAAATAATAATAATAAATAAATAAATAAAACCTTGAGGGTTCTGCTTCTTTCAAGGAACTTGATTTTTTAAAATGGAAACTCCATTAATACGATATCATGGTTCAATAGCTCGAACGAACAATTTGATTCATTTGAAACACTGACGAACTATTTGATTCCATGATACTTGGAAGAAATTTTATCAATCTAAAGACAAACGAATAGTTTTGATTACAATCTGATTTCTTGATTGATTTCACTCACAGCAAATGAGGACCCGTCCGAGCGATCTTGGCTGTCGATGTGACAGGTATGTCTAGTATTTAGGCAACACATATGTTATTTCATTTGTTAGCTCAAATGAGCAGTCTAATTCAATGATATGCATTCTCAAATGATATAATTTTCCACCATTTTTTTAATGCTTAAACTTTCATTCATTGACCATTTCAACCCGTCTATAAAAATATCCGATACAAAAATAATTGTCCATAATGAAAGGGTCAACTCTTGTAAGCAGTGATAAGTGGGACTTCGGAATATTCCATAATGAAAGGGTCAACTCTTGGAATCATTTTAATGGTCGAATCATGAAAATGGGTGCATTTGATTGCAAGCATGAAATTTGTATGAAAAGAAAATAAATTTTAGGTAATTCAATTGTCTAGAATTTATTTGTATGAAAATTGTCAATTAAATGTGTTTGATTGATTTAATTTTCAACGTAGAAAATATTATATTTGTCCATTTCTTATTGGTGGGTTAATGAGAGAGAGAGTGGATAAATAAGAAAGAGAAATAGAGAGTGAATTTCGTGGAAAATAAAATATCACTCTTTCTAAAGAAAATATTTTTCTTGATCTTGAAAAAAATATAGTTACGTGACAAAAAGTGGGAAAATTTTCCATGAAAAAAATGACAATCAAACAGCACAAAAGTAGAAATTTGGGTGAAAAAATATAGACAATCAAACGCGCTCTAAACTTAAATAGTAGTAAATGTATTTGTAATCCTTATCACTCTATATGTGCCTATTTATTAACCCAAAAAATGTGTATCAATCAATTATTTATCTTTGGTCAATTATTTGAATAGATCTTAAAGATTTATAACTGATAGTCATTATGTAGAAGTGTGTTGACGATTTAAACATAGATAATTAAATTTCTCGTCTCTAACAATATAAATCTAGAAATTTCATTTTTTTCCTCTTGATTTACTCCTTATTATTAATTTGTCTCAACTTCAAAATCTTCAAAATTATTGGCCATATCTATAGTAAGAGGAAATCGTACACAAATTGATTGTAGAGTCCAGTAAAAGCTAACTTTGACATGTCAAGTACGTCATTAATGAAAAAAATCACATTTGACGTTCTTAACTTTTTAAAAGTGCAAATGAGTTCCAAACTTTCATTTGACAATGTCCCTAATCTTTACATAAATGAAAAGTCCAATGACCTTTCGATGATTTTCATCCTATAGGTTGGTTTGTTCAACCTTTCACTTAAGCTTGACCCTTTTTATTAAGGGTAAAATTGACATTCTACTTTTCTGCACAAATATTTTGTTAGCGTGGAATTGTAGTTATTAGACTCAACTTGTGCATTGACACGACCAAGGTGCTAGGTCTCAAGTTATTAGTTGGATCAATGGGTCAATGATCGAATTGGTAGGCCATTGATTAAAAAATTTTAAGTATAAAATTTTTTCATCTTTGAGAA